ACACACACACACACACACACACACACACACACACACACACGGCTGACATACTGAGGTTTTTCGGAATGCTGATCAGCAGACAAAAGAATCTTTGTAATCTGGGGAAGAAACTGCATCCTTCTCTTGGGCTGTCCACTATTTCTTCTTGCATGCTAGATCCTCATGTCAACAGTTGCATTATCAACAAGCAATTGAAAATTTGTATTTTTCAACTTACTTCTCTTGTATGAAAAGGTAATAAAAATAAAATGTATGGACAAATGTTAAGGGTAATAAATTTTACTCTTCATATTTAGGCTTCTGAAATACAATTAGGTACCCAATCCAAAGCCACATAAAAACATTTTCACTTAATTGGGTGCAGGGGTTTGAATTTTTGAAAACTTTTGTAGTCTTGTGGTTATGAAATTTGTTCCAGCTCTTTGTTCCAGCTCTTCTTTCCCGCATTCTTCCACTAAAAAACAGGTGTGGTACAACTTTCAAAACAAGACAGTTGTATTTGAATACAAAATTTGACAATCTCAAAAAAAAACACTTATACTACAAATTTCAGCTCCTTGAAAAGAACCATATAAAAAGTTGGTTTGCGCTTTGAACAAGAACTGAAAATCTCTCCGCTAAGTAAAGGGCAATGGGAAGTAACAAAATTTTAAATTCAAAGGGCATTTGGATCTTTGCTGAAAACATATCAAATCAAATCTTTATTATGGTCAGACCAACATGAGGGTGGGGTACAGTCAATTGCTGAAAACACGTGTATACAGTTTCTCACTTCTGAGAAGCAATGTATAGTCAGAAGCCTAAGTCTCAAAAAACAGCTTTTGTCAATGCACATTTCAGAGACAATCATCTACCTTTTCCAATATGGCTCTAAGAGATGTGTAAAGCAATTATTTGGACAGAAAAACATGTCTTGAACTAACTAGAAAAGAGGAATGAGATACTTAATAATAGAACACGACAGAGTTTTCCTTACCATTAGATTGCCACATAAATCCACTAGGAATTATGGCTTTATACTGGAATCAGTGTTTGCCTTAAAGAGCTGTGGAAAATGCTCTGAAGCTGAAATTTTATGTCCCCAAATATCTTGTTTCAAGGCATGAATACAAGAGGTTAGAATGGTCCATTTTGTTGTGACTAGATTACTTCCAAAAGGGGGTGTTTTCAGTGTTGGAAAGTTTCAACCTTGGAACATTTTCCACATCTCTACAGCCTTGTTTATGGAAGAACCTAAATCCAATATGATGGCCTGAATCAATCTTCTCTCCAAATGATAGTTATGGAAAATGAGTACATAGAACATGCCCATATGACAAATCTGGAATAGTGTCAGCAAACCTAACACCAGAAAATAGTATCTGGGTGCAGAGAACATATAATCTGATAATATAAAATATAATCTATGTTTGCATTAGATACTAGTTTCCCAAAGCACTAGAGTGTTGCTTCCATTAAAGAGAAAAGTGAAATACATCAGGTGTATTATTTTATATTATATATATTCTGATTTATTAAATTTCTCAAAGAATGAGATATGCTTACAGACGATGTCATTTAGAAATGATACTGCATCATCTATCCATTAAAAATGCTTCAACTCCTCTAACAGAAAGTGAGTACACCTAAACAAACTGTGAAAATTAACACTGAAATTAAAATGAAATTAATGCTGTTATTAAACGAGCCAGCCAACTCCTTGTTACTGCTGTAGTTTAACTTAAACACATATACTAAGTTACTTCCAAAATTCAAGTTTTTTGTTTAAGCAAGTGGAAATCTAATACAGTTAAAATAAGTAGCATTTCTGAATCACAACTTATACATATTGAAATGATATATTAACTAAAAATATATAGCAAATGCTACACAGCTTTTTCAGTCATTGCTATTTTTCAGCTAATAAAGCGTACCAAAATGCCTTCTTTATTTCATTAAGAGAATGGAGAAGGGAATGGATATGTAGAACAAATATACAAGGAAACATGCATCATGGTCTTAAACAAGTTACACAGAAGTCTTATGGGCTTCTTTGAGATCTTCTTCCATGTAATTGCTTTGATCCAGTGGTTTCTTAAAGATATAGCAACTCTTGACATGTACCCACAACTGCTTCCCCATTTGTTTCAACAATGGAAAGAGCTTTGCAAGAGCATTCCTCTGGCTGTGCAAATCTGCCCCCACACAAGTGTGCACCTGCAAATTAGAGCATATATAGGGTTCTGTACAGAACTTAGCGGATGTGTTCGAATCAGGGTGCTGGAGCATTATCCTGGAAGAGGCTGCATAAAACAGCTCGACAAAGACTAGGTTGAAGCACCCCTTCCCTCTATGGCCTAACTGGTATTCTCAAATTGAAACGTTGGTTCAAAAATCAAACCTCTTCAGAAAAAAGTCACAGTAACCATTCTATATATAAACAGACTGTAGCCACACAGTTTATTTCTCACAGTTCTCCTGACAACTGAACATTATTTAAGAACAGACTGTATACACAGATAAGAAGAAACATACAAAATGTTTTAAACGATGCACAACAAAATCCAGCAGTATAAAAGAATGCATGTGAAGTCTCACTGTTCAGGCTAAATTTAATCACTTGTTTAAATAGTAATAAAAATACAATCTTGGATCTTGTGCATACTACAAAAGAGGAAAATTATTACCATATATGATTTATATTAGGCAGTTTTCTTTGATGAGTTGCATTAACAACTCTAAATACAGAGGCAGAAGGCTGTGTATTCCATAGAGTTAATGGTGGGGATTTAGAAACTTTACACAGTTACTACCACTGGCACTTTTCACCATATTTTTGTACACATCACATGGTCATTTTATATAACATTACATTTAAAAATATATCTGCATGACAATTTTATAATATTCACACACCATGAGCTGGTTAAGGAAGCAGCGCCACAGTTGCCTCCTGTAGTGCTTCACTCTTGGTAAATAAATTTGTGGTAAAAAGGAAAAAGAGGAGGAGGTAAAAGAAACACCTACGTAATTAAGCAGCTCCAAGGCCTATTATGACCATCCCAGGGACAGTGATTGTTTTAAGAGTATGTTCTAGAAGCAAACACTGCCACAGGCTAAAACTTTGTTGAAAGAAGTCAGTTTCTGTGCTGAAGACTATTTTCACAACAAAACTGCAAACTACTAAACTGTTTCAAGGTAAGTATTTCATTACTTCTTCATCGCATAATAGCCCAAGTTCTTTAAGCCTCTGGAACTGACTATGCTTAATGTGTGCTTTCTTTTCTGGCCACACTTTTATAACTCATCTCTTGGATTATTTTTTTAAATTAGAAAAAAGACTAATGGAGTGAAGAAAATCTGCCCAGTAAAGCCACCTGCACACTAGGAATGTTCAACCGCTGTTTAGTGATCTAGTAACAAGACAGGTCAGAGAGCTGTATTTTGACAAGGGCACCTGGGAAGCTCTCATGCAGTGGATGACATTCCTGGGAAAGTAAATGTCTTTCCAAAGTGGGCACAGAATCAATGAGCCTGCCGGTGTTGGGTTTTCAGAAATGATACTACATTTCAGGTTGCGCATCTGCTTTCCTTGTCATCTATTGGCAGGAAAGTAGTTGGGGTCAAGATAATTATAGCTGGGGCCTTGGGACATGCAGTAGTCTCTATCTAAGAACATTCCTGCTCTGTAAATAGGCTCCAATCGGTGATTTTCCTTGTGAATATCTGTTTCATGTAGACTGAAAGAAAAGGAAAAACCATTATTTGTGAAGTATGACATTGCTCAAAATCTGCTCACTATCTCAAACAGGGTATGTTTACATACTTATAGGAATGAATTCCATATATAAGGAAAGTATGCTTTTCAAAAAGTATTGTCTCCAGTGTACGCATGAACATTTCAACACGATTTCCTTTTTAAACCATACCTACTCATGGTGCTAATCCCTTTGGGGAAAAATATGCATAGTGCAGAAAGGAAGAAACAAGCAGAGTGCCAAAGAAATTAAGACATGGGATAAGAAAAAGACAGTTATCACCAATATCGTGAACTACACATTTCCATACTTCTCTATCCTTGCAAACCATCCTTGCTTTTCCCATGTCAGTGCACTACTTCGTACATTGCCTTTTGTTCTTTAAACTTCTCATTCTTTTTCTGAGGACCTCATCAACTCCATCTAACCACAACTGTCTTGGTAATTTCCGTCCTCTCAGCCCATTCATTTTTTTTAATGTATTTATTTCAAGTCAATTCACATTTGTTCTCTTTTACGACCAACCATTTCAAAATGTTTCTTTTCTACCTGTCACTTTTGTATTCAATCCAAATTCATTCAGCACCCATACATTCTTGACTCTCTCTCTTCCTGCTTAGCCCATACATTTTTAAATACCCCATTCTACTGCATTCAACTTACTTTTATTATTCTCCTGACATATGACAGAAACATATTTTTATATACAGCTACTTTAGCTTCTTTTGACATTCATTTCTTGCAACAAATCACATTTATCCATTACTTTTCTACCAGCATTTGTACATCTTAACATTTCTCTATCCATTTTCTCATTTTTAGTAAATAGTCTACATAAATGTTTCCATCTTTAGTATATATTCTGCACATATTTATCTACTTACTCCAGTATTTGCCATTTATATATTTAAGTTGCAAATGTTCCCTTCATTTTCCCTTGGATCTGCAATACATATAGTTGTGAGATCCAAACCTGTGGTTGCATCACACAATCTATCTAATATCTAATGTAAAACCTTAGGGTTTATTCAGCCAATAAACATGTATACAAAAGAACATGCACATTTATATCCCCTACCAACACATATTTAATATCATCACAAGCATCCCTTATATATTCCAAAGGAGTTATGAACTCTACAATATGCATTTAAGCCAAACATTTAAAAATAAAGCCACTGTAACTGTCAATGCTTGTCTTCAGTGCATGCTGCTTACCAGTCAGAACAAG